ACGCGCTCTTCTGCCAAGGAACCTCTGCAGGTTGTGGTCACACAAGAGCCGTCTCCAACCATGGAAGATTTGCCTAAAACTGATCGTCAAGTGATCTCGGTGCTGCGTTCCCTTATAGAAGCCATCCGAGCGATATTAGTCGACATGAAGACACCATCTGCTCGAAGCGCACTTGGACTATTGGACGCCCTAAGCCCAGTGCTTGAATCTCTCAACTAGGAAGATGGCTACTCACACCTCAACATTTCTTAAAGAAGTGAAGGCTGCATCCGTCATCCAATGGAACGCCAGAGGACTAAAATCACGCCTTTCAGATTTTCGTCAGTTTGTGTTTACCAACGTGTTTCCAATTATCGTCATTTGTGAACCCAATTTGTCGAAACCAATAAGACTATCGTGGTACGAAGCTGTCATGTCTTCAACGAACGGTGCGTGCAGCAAAATTATCGTCTTTGTTCGTCGTGAACTGACGTATGTTGTGCAACCAATTGCACCTCACGATGACAATCAGTATGTCTGCATCACTGTGAAAAAGAACCAACTCGTGTTTACTCTCATAGGCGTTTATATATCACCGTCAAGTAATCTCGATTCCAGGAGATTAGCGGATATTTTGAGAGTGTGTCCTGCACCATGGGTCCTCATAGGTGATTTCAATGCGCACAATCACGCATGGGGAAGTACGCGGACAAATGCAAGAGGACGAAGGTTAGCAAACATCGCCTACAACTATGGCCTTACTCTCCTGAACGACGGCAGCTCCACTTTTCTTCGAGGGGTGACATACGGCAGCTGTCTCGACCTTGCTTTTGTCTCCAACTCCCTCGCGAGATACGTCAAGTGGTTTCCAGATGTTGAGACACGAGGAAGTGATCACATTCCAATCTACCTTAACATCAAAGGCTTGTCTAGTTATGGTCCACGGACGACCATTCGAGCAGTCCAATGGACCAACTTCAAATCTGACATGGAAGATGCTTGCAGCGATGGCCTACAATCTGGGTTAGAGGAAACAATTAAGAGCACAATGCAAAACGCGACTCGCACGGTGACGATATCTTCCACACGAAACGACTTTGATATAGAGTTGGAGCGACTCCGAGCACTGCGACGCCGGGCGGAGCGTCGGTATCGGCGTACAAAATCAATTCACGATCTTAGGGCAGCCAGGAGGATGCAAAAGAAGATTTGGCGTCGCATGGATAGATTAGCGTCGGAACGATGGACAACGTTTTGCCAGTCACTAGACCCTCGCAAGCCACTCTCACACATTTGGAAAACGGTGCAAGGTCTGCGTCACCCTACGGAACAGCGCTTTCCATTCAAAGCGCTCGCGCTATTTCAAAGGAGGCCAGACATCGATGTCGCAGAAGATTTCTGTGCGCAGATCGCCAACCAAGCCACTCGTCCAGATTCTCCAGTGAGAGGTGACGTCCCCCGTTCCCGTGACTACCACATGGACCTCCTTTTTACAATAGAGGAGCTCGAGGCGGCACTAGCTCTCTGCAGGCGTTCAACTTCTCCGGGCCCAGATGGTATTCCGTACCGAGCCTTGTGCAACCTTGGGGAAGGTGCAAGGAGAGAACTGTTGAGCCTCTACAACATCTCGTGGCAGGATGGCAATGTTCCTGATGACTGGAAAGTAAGCCGCTTGTTGCCCATCTTGAAGCAGGGCAAATCCCCACTCGAACTAACCTCATACCGCCCAATAGCGCTGGCCAGCTGCGTAGGGAAGATAATGGAACGGATGATACTAGGCCGCCTGGAGTGGTATCTTGAATACTACAAGATTTATCCGAATTCAATGGCTGGTTTCCGACGCGACCGCTCTTCTATTGACAATGTCGTTGATCTAGTTTCGTACGTTCAGCACGAAAGATCCCGTAAGCGACTATCTGCAGCTTTGTTTCTAGATGTGAAAGGCGCTTATAATAATGTACTACATGAAGCCATTTTGGGTGCTCTAGCGGTGGTTGGCCTTGGTGGTCGAGTCTTTCGGTGGATTTCGAGTTACCTGGCTGCAAGATCATTCTTTGTGTTAACAGAAGATGGCCCAACTACGCGACGCTATATTTCCAGGGGTGTTCCTCAAGGTGGAGTTCTTAGCCCGACGCTATTCAATCTTGCACTAATTGGCCTTGCTGAATACTTGCCAAGCACCATTAAAATATCAATATACGCAGACGACATCTGTGTCTGGACATCGGCAGTCACACGTCCTCAGATACGTTCCCGGCTTCAAAAAGCAGCAACTATGATTGCCAACTACTTGTTCAAACAAGGTCTCATCATATCACCAGAAAAATGCGCGCTGGTGGCTTTCACTCGCAAAGCAATGACCCCTTATGTCATCTCAATCTGCGGGCGACCGATTTCTTACGCCAAAACCCACCGGTTTCTGGGCATCATTATTGATAGGGACCCCTGTTGGAGCCCGCATGTGACCTATATGAAGAAGCGCCTGACCGCTGTTTCTCAACTGTTCAAGTTCCTGGCAGGAAAGACTTGGGGGATGTCAGTAGACGCAATGATGGAGCTCTACAGGGCCCTGTTTCTCGGTTTCCTCAGATATAGCTTGCCTGTGCTTAGCAATACCTGCAAGACCAATGTTCGTGTTTTACAGGCAGTACAAGCCCAAGCGCTGAGAGTGTGCCTCGGTCTGCCCAGATGTACGTCAACAGAAGCAACAATTGCAATTGCTGGTGACTATCCGATACAAACTCACATTGTTGTAGAAGTCCTGAGAACGCACATCCGACACTTCGCACGTGCCCCCGGCCATCACCTTGCACTGTTGCCTTCAGAGAGGCGCCAAGCATCGTTCGCCAAAATTATCGTGAAATACAACGATAAACTTCCCTCGGGCTTCACTCATGCATCTAAACCATCCATACCACCTTGGTGTCTCATTCGACCCACAGTGCATCTTAGTGTACCAGGGATCCGGAGGAAGTCTGAGTTTTCGTCACCCGTGCTGAAACAACTGTCTCTTCTTCTTTTGCACGAGAAATATTCAGACAGCATACATGTATACACCGATGGTTCCACGAACCACCAGTGTTCGTCAGGGGCAGTAGTTATCCCAGCAAGAGGTGTTACCATCAGCTTTAGGACTGACCACTCCACGGCATCTACAGCAGCGGAACTAGCTGCTTTGCGCGCTGCACTTTGTGTGGTCAATCGGGAACCACCGCAACAATGGTCGATTTTCAGCGACTCAAGGGCTGCCCTACAATCTGTGCTCTCAGCACTGCGTCGCGGCCCGTACGAACAGCTTGTTTTCGAAATTCGATGCCTTCTCCACACTTTACTCGAGAAAGGGAATCATGTGACGCTTCAATGGCTGCCAAGTCATTGTGGCATCATAGGGAACGAACATGCCGATACCGCCGCGCGGGCAGCCCTTGAAGGAACACAAAAAGAAGCCATACCACTTTCGAGGACTGATGCTGCCAGTGATCTTCGACGACTTGCGCGTGAAATCACGTTTTCCCTATGGTGCCCACCAAGCATCGATACGAATCGTCAACACCACCTGTCCTATTTGATGGCTCTCCGCATGCCCACTGGACTCGACCGAAGAGAAGCCACCCTACTTCATCGCGTATGGCTAGGAGTGGCATTTACAAAATCTTACTCCTTTGTCATAGGAATGGCCGACAACGCTCTCTGCGATGCCTGTCATTGCGAAGAGACGCTACACCACATCCTGTGTGACTGTACATTGTATGAAATCCAGAGACAGTCACTAACGTCTGCTTTTGCGCGCATCGACAACAGCCAAATGTCTGTGACACTATTCTGTCAAGTGCCCGAGAGAAGACACTGCAACAGAAAGCGACGAAAGCTCTGTTGAAATTCCTACGCGACACCGACTTGAACAAGCGACTGTAACAGCAATGTCACACACCGCGAAAGACAAGACTGGACTATGACTGAGTGTGCGCGCATGTGCTGCCGAATGTGCTGTTTCCATCTTCCCTCTCTGCTCTCTTTCATCTCCCCCATCCCTCCCCCATGCGCAGGGTAGCAAACCGGCTGCCTATAGGCTGGTTAACCTCCTTGCCTTTCTTTTCCCTCTATTTTCCTTCCTTCCTTCCTTGAGCCGAAAGTATTGGAAGCCCATGGACTGAAAAAATTGAAGCCCAACGCAATTCCTACTTTGTTCTCGCATCGGCCGCCGCCAAAAGAACGAAAACCCCCGTCAAAGAGGTTGGAAATTCGCAAGAAATGCTCAAAAAAACGTAAGGCACTCTTCAGTGACGTTCCCTTATTAAATATAGAATTCTAATGCGTATCTTAACTACATAATGGAACACAAGTGACGGAGAAATACTGTTGTTCGAAATCAGACCATCACACTGAATGGTGATTAAAGAATACACACACGGCGCTGAAATGCGGAAAATATTGTAGTTTTTTGCCATATACCTAAGCACGATGATTCGATCTCAATCCAACCTTTATAATTATGTCAAAGTGTAGCAGAAAAGTCATTGTAGTTTTGAATTCCTGTTACAGAAAGCCACGTAAACTATGGAGGGGCGCTTGACGCCGAAGCGCCGAAAGTATTTCATAAAAAGCACGAGTTCTGTTGCGAGTGTCCATCTTGTGATTTGACCTTTCTTTGAATTACGTGATTCAGCGGGTTTGTAATACATGTGGGCGTATTCTGGTTGTATCACAATAGGTGAGGAATCCGTACTGGAGCATACCACAAGCAAACAAGGAGCGTTTGCTGAAAATCAGTGTAGCTCCCCAGAATCGGCAGACTCTGCTGGCTCCGCTTCTTCTGCAGAGGTAGCAGAGCCCGAAGTTAACGAAGTTTGCGAAAACGAAGTTAACCAGCTGGTGGAATCTCCTTTTGAAATCGTCCACGACAACTCCTGTAAGAGTCGCCTGAATGATTTGTGTGGAATGCCACCGTAATTTTGTTTCTCAAAAATATTTCCACCTGTCCTTTTCATGTGCAGCCTATGACAGATTTAGCCCTGAAGTCAGCAGCAACGCAACTCAAGATATTGCAGCAGTTGATAATGGTAAACCAAACGTTGCTTTTTTTTATTTTGGGGTCTAAGCATTGACATTACACCATCCAAACAGGCTTCCCTGGAACTACATGTCAACCGGCGATGAACGCAACCAGTACTGCACGACCTGTGCTTTACACTTGTAAGAGACGAGCTGTTGAACACTTAGACTTATCCTAATTTGTAACATGTGATATTGAGGGCTTACGTCTGAATTGCTTTCAGCGTGCCAAGAAGCAATCCAGGGACGAATTGCGGAGCTCGAACGTCTACAGGAAGCTACCGCGAGGAAACTGGCGCTCGCTAGGAAGAGGTATCTTAAAAGCGAAGAAGAAAAGGAAGAAATCAAGAAAAGGCTCAAAGGACTTTTTAATGATGACCAAATGAGGTCGATGGAACGATTGTCCGCGCAGGGAGCGCGATGGGAAGCAGGCACACTCGTCAAATCGCTGCAGCTGCGCCTGGCGTGCGGTTCCCGAGGATACGGACTCCTGAGGGAGTTCGGATATCCACTCCCGTCGGACCGTACGCTTCAGCGCCACATTCAGCACGTCAAGTTTCGACCTGGATTACTGAGAGATATACTGGAGCCTCTAAGGGCGAAGGTATGGCTTGGGTAAAACGCTTGCATCACCAAATTTTCTGTGTCAGCAAATAGTAGCAAACACAAATACTGGATACTTGAACCTGTGGTTACGTCTGGAGCTTCTCGGGGGAAAATGATTTTGGCCCATTGCTATAACTTGACACATGTCTTTCTAATCTACTAAAACTTCTGTAAAATGACTTGTTTTTTCTTCGTCTGGTAATTCCATTGTGCAGGTCAACCTTATGCAACCTGAAGAACGCCATGCTTCGTTGATGATCGATGAGATGCAGATTACACCAGGGCTCGTATATGACCATTCCTGCTGTAATGTGATGGGAGCTCCTACGTTACCACTGGCCGACGGATCGCTCCCAGACGACTGTCTTGCTACCCACGGCTTAGTTTTTATGCTCGGGGGATTCTCATCTAGGTGGAAGCAGACAATTGGTTATCATTTAACTGGAAATTCGTTTGACGCGAACAGCCTAAGAAGCGAATTGATTAACATAATAACGGCTTGTGAGTCGCTCGGATTAAAAATTCATGTGCTAGTATCCGATATGGGTGGCGGAAATCTGGCATTATGGCGACTGTTCGGTATTTGTGCAGGAAAGTATAGCCGGCCATCGACTAGCTGTGTTCACCCTTGTGATCAGTCAAGGCGACTGTGGTTTATGCCAGATGTGCCTCACCTTTTGAAGAGCCTTAGAAATCACCTGACAAGAGGCCAGGCTATTTACCTTCCCGATGACATCGTGAAAATGCATCAACTGCCTACAAACTGTGTTGATCTTCGTTATGTGAAAGAATTTATTGAACACGATGAAAAAAGTGAGATCAAGCTTGCTCCTCACCTTAACTCGTCTTGTGTTGAGCCAAACCATTATGACAAAATGAAAGTGAAATTCGTATACAGTCTATTTCATAACGATACATCTGCTGGCTTGCACATGTTAGTTGAAAATGGTAAGATTAGCAAGGACGCACTGACTACGGCTTGGTTCATTTCGACCGTTTTTCGGTGGTATAGGCTAATGACATCAAGAACTAGTAAACTGGCGTTTAGCCATTCAGTGCAAGCAGCTTATGGTGAAGCTGTTAAGTTCCTTACTGAAATTGTTGACTTATTCTCAAAGATTTCTATAGGGGCTCCGACAAATGCATCTTGGAAGCCAATACAGACCGGCATCACTGTCGCCACATTGACTGCATTAGATCTTCAATCTACGATGCTTGACAAGTATAACTTCAGCTATTTCTTATTGAGCAGACTCAGCCAGGACCCACTTGAGAACTTGTTTTCAACCCTGCGCTCGAAAAACCCCATTCCGAGATTGTATGAATTCAAGTGCAGTCTGAGGAGTGCTACGTTAGCACAGTTCTTAAGGCCGAGCAAGAACGCCCTGCAGTTATTCGGATGATGGAGCGTTTATGCTGTTATCCCTTGAAGACCAGCCGAACAATGAGGGTCAGGAGCAAGTGCAACTTCCAGATGACCTACTCGATCTAACAAGTGAAGCAGATCAGTCGATAGAATACTTGGCAGGGTATGTTGTATCCAAACTGCTGAAACGGCTGCACTGTGAAAACGGCCGCGCCGCACTCGTCAGCGATAAGGCACCAGCAAAATTAATCTCACTGGAGAACTTCTCAGAGTCGGGCCTTGCGCTGGTTAACCCTTCGCCTGCTGTCGTGGAGATTCTCAAGGTGACGGAAAACTTATTCAGAAGCAACAGAGAGGCACTCATAAAAAACACTGTGACCGCTGTAGAACTTCAGGCTGCAGTCCCTAGAAGCATTTCCATCGTGACTTGTTTCCCTGCATGCCATGAAATCATTAAAGATATTGTAGGCGTCTATGCCAAACTGCGAATTCACATTCTTGTCAGAAACGAGGCATCAAAAATAGTCCCCGCTACAAACGGCAAGTGTGCAAGCAAAAGCGTTGGCATGCACGTCGCTGCGGCAAACATACGCTGACAATTGTGCCCGCCTGCAGCAGATGCGATTTATTTCGTCGTTGTGTGTGTAGCGCTAGAATAACGACGTTTGTAGCATGCGCAGTACCTCTGAACAATATATATGTAGGTAGACCTTTACTGTATGAGAGCTGTCTTGCTGTTCATGTAACCCATGTAGAGATATCTTGGGCGTAATTAGCATGCGCCTTGGCTTCGAATTTCTTACAACGAGCGGTTCTTCATTGTTGCGCAAAAATAAACGTGTTGCTACTGAAATTTCTTTTCTTCTTCAGCTAACTGCACAGTGAGCCTACATGCATTTTCTTGGTTCACTGGACACAGTGAATTTACGGCAAGTAAAACTACCTTCCTATTGCAATCATAGTTACATATTCCTCAAAATTTAGTTAATATGATAAACTGTGTTCAAGAAATTAACGACAAACAACTTCTCAGTCGAGGAGAAATACTTCGTAGCTAGAGTAGTACATTTTTAGAACCACATACCAGTCCGGTCCGGAACCTTCCGCGCCGCCTTGATTATTTTGTAGTTCAATGCCATCAGTTATGAAACACCGGTAGCATTTTTCATTGAATTATTCTTTTGAATAAAATCAAACGATTATACTCCTTCGACCTTCGTGCATATAGAAGAACATATGTTGGTTAGGCTAAAGTAAAACATCTCACAGGGTTCCTTATGCGTTCATTTAGGACGACTCGAAGGCGAAAACAATCTTCTTTTTCCTCTCAGCCATTGTATTTAGGTGTATTGATGCTGCCCCGCCACCCTTCCAAAGCTTTCTGCGCCTATCGTGATTTTGCACTACCTCCAAGTTTGGAGGCACCCCGCCTGGTTTTGCATTGCCTCCGTGATCGGTACACCTTTGACCAAGCTACGACGCGATGTGATGACGTCATCATGTGACGCTACGTGACGTCATGATGACGTCACAAGGACGTCACGTAGCGTCACATGATGACGTCATCACATCGCGTCGTAGCTTTGTCAAAGATGTACCGATCACGGAGGCAATGCAAAACCAGGTGGGGTGCCTCAGGACGTCACAAATTTTGGCGATCTGTGACGTGTTTGGTGACGTCACCAGATGATGACCTTTTTCATCACTATATATAGTCACCGACGCCACGGGACGCGAGACGCCTTCGACGCGGGTCGCCGACGGTCAATTTCCGCGTTTGATGAGGCAGCTAAGGTTTTCGTCTTAATAAGTCAATTAACAACCGCTCAATGATATCTTGGCAGCAGCCGTAAAGTAAATAGCCATACGCACGGAAGCAAAGTTACGTATCTGGTATATGTATGTATTATGCGTGTATGCTCATATAAAGAAAGAGCCACGTACGCGCTTTTCGTAATGGCTCTCTTCTGATAAACTTTACATCCTGAATTCTGTGAGTTAATTATAGCGTAACATAGTCTTAGAAGATTCCATCTGAGCGGTGGGTTTTCCTTTTTTTTTTAACAGACTGAGGTAAGTCCCAAAGTTAATGGAATGCAATATCTCGTCGTTTCATCGTGACGGAAGCCAGGCACGCACGGTGACTTCTATGCTTGCTTTTCGCCAACACAACATGAATTTTACAAAGCGACACTGCAGCACTTATCAAGTTCTCGTCTATACAATGTGCTGCCTACATTACATGCGCTTAATACACATCCGCGTTACAGACAGCCGAAGCGGCGACGGAGAGGTAAACCGCTAAGCCGCCAGCTGGTATGCTCATTTTTTCGAAGCGCTTCCGCTCGTATTTATCGAATCGTCTTAAAAAATATGTCTGCCATAATGTTCTATGGGAAGCCTACTTTCGTCACGACTCTTTCTTAAGGGACATATTCTCGTATAATGCTTCAAGGAGCCGATTAAACAAGCGCGCGCATTGAATCTAATGCGGCTGCAGCGAGCCAGTGGAGGGTTCAGCGTGCCGTGCGCACCGCGCCGGCCGGGAGAGGGGAGAAATCCGAGGAGAATTGAGGAGGAAAACGCGCGCGCGGAGGAGAGTGTCGCTACTTTCTAGATCTAGGGGCTTTACTGACAGCTCTCACACCCCGAACAAAACTGGCCAGGGAACTTTTTTTTACCACGCGATTCAAACACGCTCTATACCATCGTGAACTAGACATATGCCAGTACCTAAATCCCAGAAAGCAATTGGATATCTTCAAGCACGGCTCCACGGTGGCGATTCAAATGCGGTAAAACAGCCGTTATTTCCGAGAGCGCCCATAGGCGCTGTGCATTATGTTTTAATAAGCTGGGGAACTCGCACTATTACAACCACGGTACTATAACTCCGACAAAAGAAAGATTCATGCAGTTGCTACTTGAATCCGGGAAAGCAATGAGAAAAATCAGAAAGGGAGAGGAGTTATTATCGTTTTGCTCTCCGGTCCCATAGAGTGACGCGGGGCACCGCCCCCACCATGCGGGAAAGCGCGCCTCCTGCCCGTGGGCCGGGATCCTGGGGACGTTTGCGTATTTGTCAAGCGTATGATAGCTTAATCACAGTTATTTCAGACGCATACAAACATAACAAAAGTTCGACGTCACTCTTCTCCACTCCCCCCCTTTTCAGTTTCGTGCGCTAAATATACCCCCATGTAAGGAATAAAAACCTCGGCTGTAAGTTCAGCGCTTCGTCCATTTCTGTCAGTCCTGCGTTATGCGCTGTTTTTTAATTCACTCATCATGTACCAACTGGCAAAAATAAGCACTTTAGTAAAAGCAGCATAATCATGTTGTGCTTGACCGGCTTCATTATCATAACGATGAAACCACAACATTGTTGGACTTTGTATGCCAATAACAACTAAACTTGCAAATGATGGGACAATAACATGTAATACGACATCATGAGCCTTGCATCCTACCATGTGCTGCAAGTACCAACAAGGTGGTTTCAGTGATGTCGGTGCAAGCCAATAGACAACAATCACTTGGTGGAGAGTATTTTTGACATTATTGGTCTAACGCCTAAAGCTTCAAAAAAGGCAGTCTAGATTTGTTACAATTTTAGATAACTACAATGTCTAAATTTACATTTCAGAAGCAACATGTGCATGACTTAGGCATGCATATCATGAAGGCATGCATATATAACCTTATT